CATAGCCCAACAGTCCGGCCCATATCAATAGTCCGGACGCCTGAGGACCCCTTAAACCATGACTCCCTCAGTAGCCCCTGAACCAGGCTTCAATGACGAGGTGTCCCGCGTGCAGATTGTCTTCGGCATTGCAAGGCGGGTTCCTTCTCCGAATACTCCAAAATAGTCTTTGAACGCAAGAAAATGTGTCCGGTTCTGCAAAACAAATACCACACACAACCGTAGAGAGTATAATATTTCATGAGTCCAATCCGCTGACAACTTTTTGTAGCGTGACATCACGTCGCCGCCCGGTCATTATTCTAACCTTTTTTAGTCTGCTGCTCAATATTTCGAGATGCGGTTTCATTGGCACGTCTTGTCAAAGCAGAGATCGTGTCCCCTTATTGCAGGATTCTCATCAACACGGGCGTGGGTAACCCAACCGTTTTGTCGGCATAATTCCTTGGGAGCAGGCATGCTTTAAGGCCTAGGAGGGGGCATTTGATATTCATCGCCTTTATAAAGGGGCAAAGACTCGCCCTTCTTCCTTCACGCCAAGCTTTTCCTCAACCTATCCCACCTCGAGCTCCAGCACCCAAGGTTCAAGTTAATCACTTCGCGCCTCCCAGTCATGTCCGGACGCAACCTTCAAGGCTGGTGGGTGGCTTCCTCAGTCACAGAGGAAGATATTGCGAAGTTCTGAGAGGCCAGATACCTAACCGCGGAAATCCCCCACATGCTTCCTGCTCAAGGGCAGGTTATTCCTACTCCCAGATCCGGTGATAGGGTCATATTCATCTCCCATTTCCTCCGAGGGTTAGGGTTCGCTCTTCATCCCTTCGTTCGAGGGCTCATGTTTTATTACGGGCTAGATTTTCATGATCTAGCTACGGACTCCTTTCTTCACGTCTCGGCGTTCGTTATCATGTGCGAGGACTTCCTCCGTATTTCCCCACACTTCGGCTTATGGCTCAAGACCTTCAATGTTAAGCCGAAGGTAGTCGATGGGAAACAGGCGGAGTGCGATGGTGCTATGGTGAGCAAACTCACCAATACTACTTGGCCAAAGGGCTCCTTCATGGAAACTTCCGACCTATGGCAGCAGGAGTGGTTTTATATCACTGAACCCCGTGGTACCAGGTGGGTAGCTACACCGGCATTTCGATCTGGCCCTCCATTACAGCTTGCATCATGGATTAATAAAGGGTTGGACTAGGGATCCATTGATGAAGTACAGACGCTGCAAAGCCGCATTCAGAGCCTCATTGAAAAGGCCACCAGTCTTATCAACGTAATCCAAGTAATGTTGGTCCGCCAGGTCCTATCGTGCCAGCGACAGCCTCTCCGCATGTGGGAGTTCAATCCAGAAGGACCACGAACCCTTCACACTACTGGAAACTGGGAATTTGCCATCAGCCAGCTCTTTGCCATCTGCCAGCTGATGGCAAAGAACATCTTTGTCATCTGCTTATAAAAAACAGATGGCAAAGAACTGACATACGACAAAGAACATAGTTGCCATCAGCCAATTCTTTGCCATCTGCTAGTGGATGGCAAATAATCTTTGCCATCTGACAGCAGATGGCAAAGAGGTTGGCAAATCCTGTGGCCGTCAAGAGTGTGACGGCGTACCAGCCCCACCTCTTTGTTATCTGCCAGCAGACGACAAAGATTCTTTGCCATCTGCTGGCAGATGGCAAAGAGATGGGTTATTTTTTTCTAGGTAAAAAAAACTGTGGGGTTATCCCCTCCCTCTCTCCCCTCCTCTCCCTCCCTCCCACGCATCTCACCCGCCGCCGCCCAAGCACCCCGCCGCCCCACCACCCC